TTGGTTATTAAACTTTAATTTAATTACTTGTAATCTGACATTTGGCTTGAGTGGTGTCTGGGAATTTATGTGTATTATTTAGATCAGCTGGATGGAAACACGATAACTCGGTTCTTTGGTTTTTGAGCTAAAGGATTTTTCTCCCGTCTGCTGGACCGAGGCAATGCTGCAGAGCTCTGGCACCACCGGTCCAACTGACCACCACCAGCAGGAAAGGTGGGTTAGGTGTTTTACTCAAGGACACAACTGCAGAACTCTCTGCTGGGAAAAAACGACTGCAAGAAAAAAAACTTTCAAAGAATAAATGACAATAATAACAAAAAGCTTGGACTTATTTTGGGGGACAGGCAAGTGTTTGTGTTCTCTAATTATTCTAGCCAAACAGTTACGGATTTAAGTTGTCTTAACATTTATTTGGCTAAATCTTTGTAAGAAATCTGTCAAAATCCCCGAGAGTCTTTGGGGTTTTATAAGAACAAATACATCATCGATTGTCATTCTATTTTTCCTCTCTGTGCAGAAGGATTTGAGAAGTTTAGAAAGCAGAGAAAAGGAAATGTAAGATACATGTTAAAGCTGGGAGGAGGTGACACCCTCTGGCGGCCAGAACCGGTGCAGCAGCTTTTGTAAAATATTCACCAGAGTCTGACCATAAAGGTCAAAGGGCTTTACGTGCGTCTTGTCCACAAGGATGCTCGTGTAGCCAACAAGATGTGCGTATAGACCAGCACAAAACACACGTACAAGCAGAGTTTGAATTATGGGGGGAACTAAGGGGAGCCCAGTCCCCTGAAAGGGTGATGGGCTCCCCTTACAACACCATGGGGGAGTCCGAAAAAAAGATCCTGTTTCTTTTACATTATTTTACATGTTTATTTAACATAATTTCTATGAACTCTCGGCTTACCGAGGGTGATTTTATTTTTTGACAATAAGTGCTGATTGTTGATGTGCTCCTCCTCTGCACGGCCACAGTAACGTTCTCAAAGTGACGCCACCCAAAAAATATAATTAACACGCAATCATTCATGTCCACTCATGTTCTCTGGTTCTTTCTGTCTTTGTGCCTGATGCGCTCTGCTGCTGCAGAGCTAATCACCCATGATCTGGTGACATCACCTCACTGCTATTTTGCAGTCGGTAGATCTCTTTGATTTGTTTAGTTCAAAGTAGGTCATGAGGTGAAAAATTAGAAAGCCAGGCAGCAGTTTTTTCTGGAGGATTGAGAGGAGATGCAGAAAGATCAGAGACAGACAGGACAGGAAAATAATCAAATAAAAAACAAGAAAACAAAATAAGGATCTTGAAAAGTAAAATGTTTTCTGGTTGCAGTCTCCCTGGGGTCCCTGCACTCTGGGGCAGCTCCTGGATCTCTGGGACTTGGAGCTCCCTCCATCTTTGGGGCCAGATCTGTGGCCCCTCACACTCTCTATTGGACGCTCCTATAGAGAAACCTTACATATACAAGTGCGTGTACTAGGGGTTGTATGAACTAGTCAACTAGTCGACTTCACTGCTCTGTAGTGACTTTTTATGCCTGTCATCGACTAGTCGCTGTCACGTGATATTGAGCGACAAGATGCAGTCCTCGGAAAAGACAGCAGGTGACGAGCCCCTGCGCATCGGGAGGCAACGCGCTGTGCCAGAGCGTCGGTACTGACACCTGCCGTAAAACGGACATTTAACCAAATTGTGACGTTTACCCTCTTGCAATTTAACCTTCCCCTCACCCCCATCCTAATCTTAACCAGCGTGCGCATGCAAAGCTCTGATCGTTGACGCGCTCCAGACATCTGCGTCCTGAGCACGGCCACAGTAACAGCAAATTAGTTGTCACCACCTCAAAAACAAATTTAACACGCGATCGTTCATGTCGGCTCATTTCCTTTGATGTTTCTGTCTTTTATTTGTGCCTGATGCGTTTCGCTGCTGTGGAGTGGGGCGCATCACCTGTTTTGTCCTCAAATAACTTCACCTCACTGATGCGGTCGGCGAGCAGCGCGCACTCCCCTGTTTTTGCGGTCGGTAGATCTTTTAGAACTGCAGTTCAAATGTAACTCATAAGGTGAATATATATGAACCCAGGTAGCAGTTTTTCTTTAGGAGTGAGAGGAGATACAGGAAGATAATAAACAGACAGGACAGAAAAATAGTCAAATAAAAACAAGTTAGTTTTTGTACCTGCTGGTTGCAACAAACAGACACCACTGAAGGTAATCAGAAGTGAGGAACAGAAAATGAAATCATTATTTTAATTTTTAAAGCAGACGGAACTCCGAGAGGCTGCAGGCGCACTGCAGCCGAAACTACCGCTGTTAAAAGAGATGTGTTTAACTTTGAAAGTGTGGGCACAATTTTAATTGTCAAAAACTCCAGCGAACACCCCCCACCCCACCCCCCGGGCGCCGCTTCAGGTGTATGACGTCATCAACAACTAGTCAAAATCGACTCGATTTTCATTACTTGACAGTCGACGTTAAAAAAAATTTAGTCGTGCAGCCCCTAGCGTGTACCTGGTGCTCTCATAAGTAAGGACTTGGACATTTTCAACACATGCCTTAAGGCTGTGGTTGGCACTTAATGCACTGTGATTTATTATCATGTGATTGTTCAGTAAAACAATGTTGATTTTATATTTCCTCATCAAGATGGTGCAGTGATAGCTTGCTCCTGTTGTATTGTTGTGTGCCCCCTTTTATTTGCTTTGTTTTTCTTTTCACCTCTGTCTCCGTGTCTGGTTGGATATATAAAGCATTCAAAAACTATAGCAATAAAGTTTAAAAGAATCAGGCGTGGCATTAAAAACAGAAGCTTTGATGCTCCACCTGAGAGTAAATCTGTAGGGCTTGTCACCAGCATTCAGACATTACTGTAGTTCTGTTTGCTTCACAGCCAGATAGGAGAGGAGGAGAAGAAAGAAAAACAATGAAAAGGAAAATGAAGGTAGATTAATTCAGTTACATCTTTTTAGCTTTATGAAGCAATAATTTATAAGCATGTAATATTTTTATATTTGATACAGTTCAGATCATCTTCAAAACTCCCACCCAGGGCTGGATCAAGACATTTTGGGGGCCAAGGCAAAATAGACCCCCCCACCCCCCAGCTCACTGTGTAGTTTGTACCCTGTGGACAAGAGTCCTGGTGTAGGCAGTCATTGTTTTCATTACACGATTGGTGGCCTAGCGGATAAAGTATCTGCCTAACACCATTTTGTCATGTCCAAACACACACACACACACACACACAAACACACATGGCAAAGAGAGTGATAGGCAGATGATTTAACCACCACCAGACCTAAGATAGTGACTGCCTAAGACGCATGTCTTGTGGACAGAACATGCTTTTTTTAACGAGTATTCTCTCCCCTTTGGCCTTCCATACATACTGGTGTGTTACGGGCTAGGGTGAGTGTGTGTGTGTGTGTGTTGATGGGGGGGGGGGGGGGGGGGGGTATTATTGTGTAGGCATGGCCCCTGCTGGTTGAGGCCCTCACAAATTCCTGTAATGGTAAAATGTGTTTTATGCATTTTTATGGATTTGGGTGCAATTCCTTATTAATAAACTAAAATAACTTCCCTTTTTTCTTCACAATAAGAGTCTCAAACAACTTTTATTAGTATTGTTCTCTAACAAACTCAAGCTGCAGGAGTTCTGATTATTTACATGTTGTTTCAGATCCAGTTGCAGTTCCTTTATCATTAGAAACAATATTTACTCAAGGCATTGTTCCAAGTCTTTCTGGTTTCTCCTTTATTTTCAGTAAAACATTCAGCTGTTTTGAATATCTTTTTCTGATCATTTCACCCTTTGAAAGCATCACATGTTTAACAGGAAAAGAATAAAAAAGATTTGATATTACAGTTCTTTGTTTATCTTTTAGACTCTTATAGTGAGAGATTGAAGGAAGTTGTTTGTGTTCTGTTGTGTATGCTGTGGTAAAACACATCCAGTCCTCTGGGTACAACAACGACAACAACAGCAACAACAACAACAACAACAACATTATTATTATTATTATTATTATTATTATTATTATTATTATTAGCTAAAACAAAAACTGACTTGGAGATTTAAGTTTTTTTTTCAATTGGCTATATTGAAATTGTTTTGAAGCCTGATCTAAAAAGCTTTTATTTTGACACGGTCTTCTCAGAAATCATTTATAAACGACTAGAGTTCCTCTGATTGATGTTTTTCAAATAAGACTTTAATATTTATTAACAGTATAGGTTCACAACATTCATTTCATGTCGTTCTTTATTAAAACTAGAGCAGAAATAATTATCCTGTGTTTGTTTTGTCGCTGTAGTTTCATTTGAATTCGTTTCAGGACGAATGAATCATTTGAGAATCAAACGGAATGATTCTGAGGTTTGAACCCTGTGCCCGTTTCCAAACTCTCATGAGTTCACATTATCATCACATGTTGGTGAACGGCAGCTCCGTCCTTCTGCTTTTGCCCATGTGGCGCAGCGTGTGGCGCAACCGGACTGGAGCTCGCGCACAAACTGTGTGGCAACAGCAGCGCCACGCGACAGACTGTATCAGGGCCGACCCTGTCATCAACATCATCATCATCAGATGAGATGTTTAGCCGTCGTTTGTTATTTGATAGTAAAAAACGAAACTGCGCATGCTCTGTTTATTTACCCGTTCCTCCGGTTTGTTGCGGAACTTTAGAAAAATTAAATGTGATTATTTATCGAAAGTGCGCTAAAATGTGCTTTTGTTAAATATAAAGCACAAACGAATGATCGAAGTTTTGGATGAAAACTTTCTCTAACACGAGACAAATGTGAGCAACATGAATGATAATCCCGCCCGGATTAAAAAGGAATTTAATTAATCCAAAATGTTTCGATCTTTACTTTTCTGATCGGATAGGAGAGAAAAGAGGAAACGAGTTTTCTCCTCCTCCAGGATTCTAATGAGCGACGAGTCGCGTCTCGTCAGGAAACATCACATGTTTGTGCGCCAGCGGCGCAAACTCTATTAGAGGACAGCGCAACGTCCAGAGGACAAGAGGCTTCTGGACCGGGACAGAGAGACGCACACGGTCCGCTCCAGTAACCCATCTGCTGCAGTCAGAAGATTCAGATGTTTCTGTGGGTCCTCCTGCTGAGCGGCGCGTGCCTGCTGCATCACACTGCTGCACGAAGAAGTAAGTCCTCTGAGTTGCTTTTAAGAGGTTTGTGTTCAACTATAACCTGACATTTAATTAAGCATCCACATTTAATTGATTAAACGTGTTCAAAAGTCCGTTTTAAAATGTTTTATTGAAGATTTGAGTAAATATCTTGTCTCCAGCTCTGAGTCAGGGTCCCATGAGTCTAATTAGGACTCAGATCAGAGGAGCATCCTGCCTCAGAGTCAGAAAATACTTTAGCTTCTGCTTTTTTATTTATTAGAATATCCAGGAAATTCTCTGAGTTATAAAAAGATGTGAAAATGTTGTAATTAAGTATAAAAAAATCTAATTTATAAGATTATGAAGAAAAATGAAGAAATTGCATTTTAAGTTGTTAGACACATTTGACTACAGCAGATGAATGGCTTGTTTTTGCAGTAATCAGATTACACGGATGGAATGTGTTTTCCTCCAGAGACCAGTCAGGCTGAACTCCAGCAGACACAAATACGAGATTTAGTTCATTTATGTATAAAAGACACTTTATGGATCTGATGTTATTTAAAAATAAGGATTTTTAAAGTGTTTTCTGACACTTTTGCGTTTAATTAGCTGAACGTTTTTTAGTTTTCAGGAAAATTTCCATTATGGATCCAGTTCAGCTGAATAACTGAAAAGATGTATTTTTACAAATGCTGTCTTTGTCTCAAACCTCTTAAAAACATTGTTATTCTTATTTAGTATTTTAATGGAATGAGATGTTTTATCTCAATCTAAAAACAGAACATTCAAAAACCAGATAAGTTATTCCAGAGTTTGGTGTCTGTTTTCTTCTAGCATACGCTGACATGTTCCCTCACAAACACTCCGTTGCTCAGAAGTCTCCCTTCCCAGTCCCAGCAGTCCCTGGCTGGGATCCTGACACCAATCCATGGGATGATTACCTCTATCCTTCTCTGAACTCGAAGCCAAGGGAGCTCATGCATCACAGAGGTAAACAGAAACTTCTAAAATAATCTGGTTGAGTTGCTGATCCTGAAGTCCACCTCTCTGCAGGAAAACCCAAAGTCCACCTGACCAGCGACAGTCCAGCTCTGAATGGCTCATCCATAACCTTCACAGCTAAGCTGGAGTATCCTCCGTGTCAGAAGGAAGACGCGAACGGGGACCTGGTCTGGGACGAGCGCTGTGAGGACGGTACGGAGCTGGAGGCTTCAGGTGCTGCAGGGAGCTGAAACAGCCCACAGGCTACACCCAGTGCAACACAATGATAAACACATCTACAAATGAATAAGACCAAAAAAAAGATGTAATTTTCCTTTCAGCTTTGTTTTTCACAAAAACGCAGAAATAACTTTGTTTAGCAGCAAAAATCTGGAGAAAACTTTTCAGATTGGCTCCAAAAAGGTAAAAGGTTGATCTGGAAAAAGCTAAATTGATAACATTTGCATTCCATCTCTGTCCGAATCGGAGAGAAGCCTTTTCGGACCTAACAAGGAAGCTAAACACTTTTGGCGACGCTGTATGTTTCCCCCAAAGAGACCCAGCACCTGCATGGGATCTGTGATGGAGCACACCTTCACTCTACTGATTCCTTCGCCTGATTTAAAGAGACAATGTGTAGTTTTTACCATTAATCTCTGGAAATATCCATCAAAATGTGGTTGAAAATGAATGAAAAGATGCCCAGTTGTTGAAAAATATTGGTGGCTTCATAGTGTATAAACATAAAAATCTGGTCTAAAATAGATGGGCGACGCTGCATTAGATGCCATGTTTCCTTCGACGGGAGCCCATGAGGACAAAATGCATTTACTGATTTGTAACAAACAGTTACAAAACTTTCGTCATTCTTAAATGTTGTTTTACACGTTTACCTCTTCACTTGTTGCCAGTGATGACAGGGAGTCTGATGTGCTTGTCATTTTGCTGATTTTTGCACTCCCCAGAGCTTTTTGACCCTAATGGGCATCCGTTGGTAAGGTCTTACTCCAACATAAAAATACTGCTTGCTTGCAATGATTTTGGTATCTACTGCCCCCTATCGCCAGGAAAAATACACTCTGTCACTTTAAAGCAGCAGATTAAACGCAAACACATAAAAGCAGCACCTGTAAAACGTGTCAAAATCCCTGAATCTTATTCCTTATGGACAGCCAATGGACAGGCTCGATCTGGATATGTGTACAACTGGACCTCCTGGTTGGACGACTACGGCTTTGGGAAGTGCCCAGATGTGAAGAGATGCAATGTGTTCCCAGATGGGAAGCCGTTCCCTCAGAGCAACGACTGGAGACGCAAGAGCTACGTCTACGTTTGGCACACGATGGGTGAGTAAAGCGGGACAAACGGGACACAGGACAACAACGTCTGAGTCACCTGTCTCTCTGCTGTAGGCCAGTACTACGAGACGTGTGACGGCTCGTCCTCCAGCACCACCATCAACACCACCAACATTCCTGTGGGAGCAGAGATCATGGAGGTCATGGTCTACAGGAAGCGCGAGCGCAGGCAGTACACCCCCCTCTCCACCGACAGTACCGTCTTCATGGTCACAGGTGGAGACAACAACCTGTCCAGCATCACCTTTGAGGATGAAACAGATGAGTAACAGCTTTATGTCTCGTAGATAAGATCCCTCTGGTGGTGGACATCTCCCAGAAGTCTGTGGTCAACAAGTCTTCCAACATCTTCTTCCGTGGTGAGGATATCGTCTTTCAGGTCCAGCTCCATGACCCCAGCGGCTACTTGAAGACGGCCATTTCCGTGGACTACATATGGGACTTCAGAGACGGCAACCAGCTGGTGACGCACCGCGACGTGACGACACACACCTACAACACGCTGGGGACCATGAATGTGAAGCTGGTGGTGGAGGCGGCGTTTCCTGCTGAGTGTCTACCTGCCTCGGCCACCCCAACGCCAAAACGCACCACACCTGACACAGGTACGGGATTATAAATCAGCTGTGAGTGGATTACTCTGATCAAACCAGGCTTCAGCAGTTATTAATAAACTTCATATAGGGGCGCGCCAACAGTTTAACCAGTTTAAACTGGGGTTGGGAGGTTTTGTGGGTTTGAACGCTAACTGAACCAAACAAGAATCTAACTGAGCCTGGATCTGTGTGTACTCATCATCCGTTGGCCCTGATGGTTTAATGTTCACCATGTGAAAAAGAGGATTTCAGACGCAGAGCTGTGACATGTTTGTGTCTGACCCCTTTAGCCCCGCCCACCACCCTTGTGGCAACCACAGAGCGGCAGACAGAACCAGGTGTGATCCTGCTTCATCAGATCATTTTACACGAAACACATTCAGTCAGTTAAGCTTTCTTTTTGTTTCAGGACCCCCCACCAGCAGCCCGCCTGTTACCACCTCCTCCACCGCTTCCATGACAACCGGGTCACCCACCACGGAGCCTCCTCCTCCATCTGCAACTACTGAGTCTGACCCCACCACCCCGCCCTGGCTCCGCTCCAGGCCCCTCAACAGTAACGAGTGTTTTCGCTACGTCTACGGGACCTTTGCTGGGAACATAACCATCGTTGGTAGGTTGACCCTTAAACATGTGTGGCATCAACCACAACCCTCTGGTGTGTGTGTGTGTGTGTGGGGGGGGGTCCTGATACACTGATGAAATTCTGTTCCTACCATGAATCTAAGGGACATCATCCCTTCACTGCGCCATTCTCCACAGAACCAAAGCATCCACTGAACAGCTGGCCCAGCAGTCGCATCGTGGAGGTGTTGGCGGCCAGAGAGACCAACTCGGATGTCAGCTTCCGGGTGAAATGTCTGGGCAGGTGTGTGCTCTGGTCTACGTCCACCACAAAAATGCGATTATGTTTGTGTGTGTGTGTGTTCTGGGTCAGTAATGTGACCTAAATCCAGCATCTCCCTGTCCCTCAGCATCCCCACATCAGCCTGCACCATCGTGTCAGACGCCAGCTGCTCTCAGGTGCGCAGCATCATGTGTGATGAAGTCCCGCCCTCACCGGAGTGCGAGGTACACCTGAAGAGGAGGTTTCTGGAACCTGGCACCTACTGTGTCAACATCACTCTGGAGAACTCCAGCAGCATGGCTCTGGCCAGCACCACCATCACCATCAGCAAGTCCCAGAACACACCTGGTTTGTTTTATCAGACACACCCTAACCTGTTATTGTCCATGGAAATGTGTTTAACCACCAAACTGCCATCTTTTGGACCTTCCAGAAGCTACAAGGCCTTCGACTGCAGGGGTGGTTGTGTCCACGAGCGCTGTGGTGGTGGCCGTCTTCGCTTTCATCGCCTATCTGGTCTACAAGTGAGAATTTCTCAGGAAAATGCAAATAAAAATAGTAAAAACTAAAGACGTTTTGGTCATTTTCTCAAACACACTGTGCCTGCTGTCTCCTGCAGGCGTCATAAAGTCTACAGGCCCATCAGAAGATCCCTGGTGGTGGACACCTGTGGTCATGCTGCGCCTGCTGCTCACATGGTCCGTCTGAGGGAGGTGCTGTTCCCCTCCAACGACGAGAGCCATCATCTGCTGACTGACAAATGTAATCTGTAAGATTCCTCTAACCTGGAATTCAGGAAGACCCGCCCCTCCTCTGGAATCTAAAGGAAAAGCTGGTTCAGCCTGGAATGCATCTTTAAATGGTACTAATCCAATTTTGTGTCCTAACCTAGTCCTTTAGGAATGATGATAGGCATCATCTGGGGATGATTTAATATAGATTGTAAAGACTTTAACTGATCTAATCATGTTTTTGTTAAACAAATGTTTTAGATAACTTTACTGATCAGCAGAACTCTTCTGTGGTCGTCTTCTCATCCAAGTGAATTCAGAGGAATTTTAAATCTCGCGCTGCAATAAAAACTGAACAAAATTGTATTCAGGCTGCATTAAACTATTTTATTGAAAATGAGTCTAATCTAAATTATTAAATCCCACCACCCATTAACCACACTGTTGACTGACATTTGTACTTTTTCAAAGTTCATTTAAGAATGAAAGCTGCGAGGGCTAATTAGTCAATGAGCTTAAAAAATGTATTCATGCCTCTCAACGCTCCAACATAATTTAGTTATAAATACATCGTTTAAAATAATTAAGTGGTGCTTTTGCATTCGTCTAAAAACCTCTGCCAATAACGTTTCAGACCGAAAGCAACTATTGGACCATCCGGTTGTCGGTGTCACCGAACTGCAGCATTTCTGCGGGTCCTCCATTCACCTAGCAGCAGAACACCACCGGTGTGAGAGGTTCTCCACCTAGAGGAGAAACGCTTCAACCCCTTGAACTGTAGGGTTAACTACCAAAAGTCCCAAAAAGAAAAAAACACCATTTGAGGTCAGACAAAAAATTACGTTTGGACCTAGAAACCGGCGACTGGTGTTTAGCACCATCTCGTTTACACAGGTTTTCAGTTCTGGCAGAAGCATCGCAGCGAGGTTGGGGGAGGGGTGAGTGTTCCGTGATGGCGTTTGCGTTCAAAACCTAGCTTGTTCCGTAGACCAGCTGTAGCAGCTGTAATGGTTTAAGGATCCTGGATGGAAGTTTAAACATCTAGAGGTGATTAACTTCAGGAGTCAGTCGAAGTCCAAATGTTTAAAAAAAAAAAGAGTTTAAAGAGGTGGTTAAGGTCAACTGTACTCAAAATTTTAATACACTTGCAGTGGTTAGTAGTTGGTCGTTTTGTGAGGAGGGGGAAGCTCCGGTGCGCCTGTTTGAGGACGTAGAAGTTAGCTGAAGAAAGTAGCTTCAGACAACAGGATTTGGAGTCTTGACGGACACAAGCCTGGAGGAGTTCTGCTGTGTGGTGGAGTTGCTGATGCTAATGGTTAGCTTCTACTAGCAGAGACGTTCGCTGCCGTTTCCTGGACGCGAAACCAACAGCCTTCCCCGTTGTGAGTCAAGATGGGCGAGTCCATTCACCCATGAATGTTGACAGTGTGATATAGATCTGTCAGAATTTTCTAATCCTAGAGTTTCACCGTCTGTTTTCTATCTGAAGCTAATGCAGGAGGTAGGTGTTGGGAGACCGTTCATCTGCTATCTGCATGAGACACTTGGTGATCATCAGGAATATTTAAAATAAAAAATAAACATTTTTTCAGTTAAGTTTACCTTTAAACATGTACTTAATTTTGGTGAAATATGATTGCAAGAATGGACATAATAAATCACTAGATTAAAAAGTAAAAAATAAACTTTTTCTCTACGAAAATATACAAAAAGCTTTTTTTTTAACTTTAATTTTTATTCAGAGGCATTTGACAAGTGGAGCTGTGTGGAGAGGGGGTGGGGGTAAGAGGCACAAGTATGATTTCAGAGTGTGTGGGGGTGTCATGCTGAAATATATGATCACTTTTCCATAAACAGATACAGTCCCTCCAAATGTGTCCCACAGCAAAAAGTATGTCCTACTTTACACAGCCGGGAAAAGCTAAACAGAGGAAATCTAGAGGTGTCATCTGTGAACCACGAGGGGAAAAAAACCAAAAGGACTTTTATTTTGAAGCCTTAAAAATCAGAAAAGGTTCTTCTTGCAACAACTATTGAAAGCAAAATTAAAACAAGTGATTTGAATTTCATACAGGAGGAAAACAGAAAAGCAAAGAGTTCAAATACATGTAAGCCACAGCACCAACAACAGAAAGCAGAGGACTCCACACATGGAGCCCTGAGGAGCAGTTCTAAAAACACTGGCAAATGAAAACATTTCTACCACTTTCAGTTACTCTAAACAAGTCGGGACGTTCTCTTATCGGGGGGATAAACTAACAAATAGAAGAATGCCTCTAATTCGAATATGTGTCTAAAGAGGTAGATCAAAACAAACTGGAAGAGGGGAGGGAGGAAGTAACACAGGGGATGCTGGGTAATTAAGTATCACTTGTGCCCCTCAGTTAAGCATGGTGGCGCGCCCAGGTAGAAAGAAGTGTACATGGGACTGAGGTATTGGTGCGCGCTGGCACTCAGTGGGGGCGGGGTGAGGAGATTAGAGCCACAACTACCCCCCCACCCCACCCCCTCAGCTGAGGTAGACTGCGTTCTACTGTGGAAGCATGGATACACTCGAGCACTTTCACCACAATCAATCATATTTACATTCCACATGGAAACAAATGAAATTATGTAGATTCCTTTTTTATTTCTTATTTTTTTTTAGGTTTTGGAAGTCGGGGTTCGTTTTCTAGCTTGTTTCCCCTGCATGAGCAACAAAAAATCATTTGTAGAAGACAGAAGGTCAAAAATCATGTTCCTAAAGAGCAAAAACTACATAAATTGATGCGACTCCCCCTACCCTCACCGTGCAGTGAGTGACATTAATGTTGACGTGATGGCCAGGTACTCATGCCACTTGGTTCCTACGGAAAAACAAACCTAGTTTGGCTTCGTCAAGGCAGACGCAAGTGACCTGGGAACAACAGACCCGAAGGAAAACAAAAAGATGCTGACGACAGCTACAGGGAGGACCCATCGGTCTTACGGTCTGAGCTGCAGGCCAAAATTTAAAGAAGGACTTTGTCAAATAAAAAGTACCAATAGTAAACTGAAATGAATTGGCATTGCTGCGAATACGTGTGGTTGGCATTACTAGCATGTGTTTAGCTGTTTTGTTCTTTTTCTTCAAAGAAAAGAAAAGACGGTGGACCCTCAGGGGGAAAAACTGAGGCAATTTTTCTCTCTAACTCCTGTCAGCCGCCAGATGAGGGGCGCCAACTCTCGCTTCAGGGCCGTTATGTACAAATAGACTTTATGTACGGGGTCGTCTCAAGTCACACGTACACATGTACGACGCCCGCCACCTAAAGCACCAGAGTTGAAGGCAAGGTCAGTTGGCAGCTGACCAAAATTTTTAATTTTCTTAAAAAAATAAAAATGTTCAAAGACTAACAGCTTTATAAAGTATACAAAATACCAAAAAAAAAAAATAAAATAAAATAAAAAGAAAGGAACTTTTTTATATATAATCTTTTTCTTTTCTTTTCTTCTGAGGTACTAGATCCTGAGGTAGTTAAACAAAATGCATATTAAATTGGTTTTTCTGGGCAGCAGCAGTTCGGCACAATTTCCCAAAGTGTCAGTCGTAGCGCTGCCTTTTCTAAATATATATATTTATATCGATCTATTTATATAGTTCTATCTATAAAATGCATCCGAATTTTTTTTTTCTTTAAAAATGCCACTATCATTATGAGGGCAGGACGCCCGATTTATAATCCACCTTTTCTCAGGGGTCCTGTCCTAAAACAAGAATCTTTCCCCTAAACGTGGCCCACCCAGCCAGAGCCAACCCTCCCCCCAAATAAACCCCCGTTGGTCCGACCAGGACCTAGCAATGCCGTTTCATCCTTACAGAGAAAACTCATGAGAAAGCTTGAACCAATTCAACGCTAAAAGAAAAACTAAATCTGAAGTCAAAACATCTCGTCATGTTTAAGGTACCACACCATAGGGGTGACCGAAGGGGGGGTTTCTTCTGTTTCTAGAGTAAAAGAACAAAATGAAATAAAATAAAATAAAAAATGCACACACCCGTGGGGGACGAGAGCGATCGAGGGGTGTGCACACGTGAGGGCGGGAGATGTTGGGAGCCCTCAGAAGTACATTCTCACAAAGATGCAGAGAGGTGAAGTGGGTGGAGCCTTAGAGGCACAAGGTCTTATTTGCCACACTTCAAAGTCCATCAAGTAAATCAGGAAGGGGTGGATGTTTGGTTTCCATAACCTCTGACCCCTGAGATGAGCGTGAGGACCCACTGTTGCTTTCTTCCCCTTCGGACTCTGCTGCATCTGTCCATCTGTCGAGTCTTGAGACAGATTCAGTCACCATTCCTCCGGATCCACTGGACCATTACTTCCTGCGAGGCAGCGGAGGTTGGGTTCCTGATGGAGACTTGGGCTGCTGCTGCCTCCTCACCTGAGTCAGGATCTCCTGAATCTTCCTCTGAGCCAGCTGGACCACACAATGACACCATCAGGAACAAAGCCAAGTCTTTCCCCCCTAGCTCCTCATCAAGCCTGTGTTCATGACCCACCTGGCACGCGAAGAAGTGTCCGCTAATCTTTACAATGACCTGGTCGTTCTCATCGGGCGTCTGGTCCCTGGGCACCACCACCTCAGCACAGGTCAAATTCTGAAGCTCGTTTACCTGAAGATGCATCAAGGAACCAAATGTAGCACTGATGAGTAATTCAGTCGTGTGCGAAATCCTGTCACCTTCTCACCGTTTTTCCACCCTTTCCAATGACGCGTCCCGCAGCAAACGAGGGAACTTTGATATGCGCTTCCAGCTTCACCTCCTCCTTGGGTCCAAAGAAGTTCTCTTCTTTTAGTTTGCCAAATATACGACACTGGGCCTGTAACCAGAAGGGTTCGAGTAAAGGGGTTTTTAAACTCGGGAACCTACACGTCACTGTAACACACAAACAGCTCACAGACAGATGAAGGGCTATGGCAGGGGGCCCAAACTCTTGATTTTCATTAACAGGCTGAAATGGTGATTCGATTGAGTAAAGGCATGTTGGAGCAGGGAAACCACTAAAACATGCTAGAAAGCAGTCCCTGGGTTGGGGCTTAATGTCTCCGGCTCGCTGCAGCTACAATGGAGGACTGAGCCGCCTGCATGTGCTGTAGAAGAGGGGAAAGGCAGGGGAGTGGCAAGCCTTTCTAACGTGTGGGTGATGTACACACACACACACACACACTTATTTATTCTAATTTATTTGGAAATTTGTTTAATTTTTTGTTTTCTTGTTTTGTACGAAGCTGAAGTTATAAATATAAAAAGCAAAACGTTTGATTTCATAAATGATCAATTTGAACTCTAAGTAAACGCAAATTTTTATTGCCAATTAAGATAGATAAATCACAACAAGCAACCTGAGTTCATGTACATTTAGGGGTGGTGCTCAATACGTTTGAGCTTGCAGAGGCTGCGGTTCTGCTGAGGTACGAGCAAAGAGCACTGGGAGTGAGCTTGGGATGAAAGACGGTTCCAGGGCATCTGTTTCAGCACAGAGAATTAAGCCAGAGGAGAAAGTAGCTTCAGACGGCAGGATCTGGAGTCGTAGTTCCTGATATTTAGGCATCTCTTCTCTGATTGGCTAACAGCAACACGACTCAAACCACCGACTCTGTTAGCGCTGCAATGTTGATGTTTTATTTGCACCAGTAACACAAGCCTGGAGTTCTGCTGTGTAGTGGAGTTGCTAATGCTAACGTTAGCTTCTACTAGGCAGAGACGTTGCCGTTTCCTGATGCTAAAACAGCCTTCCCCGTTGCAAGTCAAGATGGGTGAGTCCATGAATGTTAAGTAGTCCTGTCAGACATTTCTGAACCAAGCATTTTTTTTGGTCTATTTTCTATCAGAGGCTAACGCAGGAAATAGGTGTAGGAGATCGTTTTCACGTTTAGCCTGCATGCTAACTCAGCGGCCAATCGTTTTCAATACCGAGTAAAACGATGGTCAGTGAACCTGCTCCTAAATGTGAAGGTAGCTTCACCTTAAACTGAGCCTCTGGAGGTCCAACAATGATGACCATCCTCTGCTTGGCATCCATTCCTTCTGCAGGAGCAATCTGACACACACACACACACACACACACACACACACTGAATTAATAAACAGCTTTACGTTCGTTCATCATGTTCCTGGCGTACGCTCAGCATCACACATTTCATCCGTCACTCACCTTGATTGAGGCTCCTGCAAAATGTGACAGCTGTTTGATGTGCTGACCCTGTTTTCCGATGATGGCTCCCACTGCTAGTGCAGGGATGAACAGGTGAACGGTCTCCGACTCCGGTTGTCCCTGCTGGGCAAAAACAACGTGGTTCTACAGCGGCCAGTCTACCAGTCAAATGTCACGTGGACACCATCGACTCGTCGTCCTTGCAACCATGATGCCGTTGCAGAAAGTGGGTGGAGCAGAAGCTGTTCTATCATTTAGGAGTTGGGTTTAGTTTATACTAATCCATCAGCAGCTATGAGCTCACGAGCACACGTATTAACAGAGACATTTTCCATTTATACTTGTCGGTACGGCATTTTGATGCAAAGAACTCGCATCAGGGGCAAAAATAATGTAGGTTTTGTGTGAAAATGCGTCCAGGACTAAAAATGTGCATCACTTAAGTTACGTCATGGAACCAGACATGGAGAAAAACCGCGGGAAAATGGCTGCAAGTTCAGGGAACCTCCAATCCTTCCGTCAGGAGGAAAGAAGTACCATAAATCTGGCCATGTGGTGAGTAGCAGCTACGCTGGGGGGGGGGGGGGGGGGGGGGGGGGGAGAGGATTCTGTGGTGACGTGCCCATGTCCGATTTGTAGTCGTGCTAATTACAAACTTTTACTACCTGATGAATATCAAAGTACGTGACTGGCATGGTCCAAACACTCATTAGTTTTCATTTAAACTGCAGTACAACATGTGCGTTCCAGCACGTGAAGCAAAGCAAAATTAGCTCTTTAAGCTCCGATGACTTGGCATTTATTTTTTGTTCTTCCGGGGGCCCATGAGCCGGCTGGAAAGTGAGGTGGTTTAGGCTCCCTATCGGGAGTTCTTGCGATCTGTGACTTTTGACGAATACTTGGAAAAGTGGGTTGGACTCCATCCGTCCTCACGAGCCTGTTGATAGAGCGCACTTGCGACGGCGGATAGTGGCATTGCGTGTCTCCGCACCGATGCAGACGATGACGTATAAACTAGACTTAACTCTTTAAACCCCTGGTTGATCAGAAGAGGCATCTGTCTAGCACTGTGGCCGCTTCAAGCTCTTGTTTGTTGCATTTAATTCTGTGGAAAGCCACAGTTTGACTTATCATGCGTTGAGTGACCAAAGATAGTATTTAGACAACCGTTACACCTAAAGACTACACGGACAGGAAGAAGATTTCTTATCCAGTCAGAAATGAACACTGTTCTGGATCCTGCTGCTGCTGGTGTGCTCCATCGCCTTCATCACATACATGTTATTACACCTGATGAACCAGAGCCCTTTTCAAACATGATCCGCCCTCCGACAACACCACGCCGTCCCCACGCCTGACCCAACGGCTTCTTCGGCACAGCGTGTGCACCAGCAGGAACAGATAAAAATCACATTACACACTCGTTCTGCAGCCCGTCTGCAACAATAAATGTGTACATTTTAGCAAGTCAATACGTTTTCAGGCTGAAACTGGTTCTAGTTGCCGATAAAAACCTGGCAGGATCACATTTGTTTGGTTTTCCCAAAATCCTCTTTTACACGTTGTTTTGTGAACACCGTTTTATAATTTAGCCGCAAACATTTCGTTCTAAAGAAAACTCCAAAGTGACGAATTACAACACAGATACCGTCGAAACCACCTCAGCTCAACAGGACATTCACCGGTTTAGACCGGAAACGATTCACTCATTCAGGTCTTTCATGTCAGAATAAACAGGTGTGTAAAAGAGCATTGCACCATTTTCCATCTATTGAGTAAAATAGTTATTGTTATGCAGTATAACCGCGACCCATTTGCTGTGCTGATGATGTCCAGGACAATACGGTCTGATTTTTCAGCTGCTACGACTCAACACTTCACTCCGATTAGAAACGATCTCCTTGGTGTTGCACGTGTAACTGCTGGATGTCTGCAGTGGACCTCTTCACCACAGCTGTCCAACCGGTCGCCCTCGTCTGTCCCCACATGTCAATCCCACCTGGGATTCAGGAATATCGCAGGTTTCACAGAGAATTCTGTTTCCCCACATCACTCTAAACTTAGAGCCCTGCTCATGAGTGTGTTAGAAAACAAATTAGCAAACAAAATTAACCCTTTAGAATTGTGTAAAAACATTTTGACTCTTTAAGCCGGGGCTGTTCGATTCCAGGCCTGGAGGGCCGGTGTCCAGCACGTTTTAGTTTCAACTCTGCTTCAACACACCTGATTTCAATTAGTAGGTGATTAACAGGCTTCTGCAGAGCCTGATGAGCTGCTAGACAGGTGATTCACCACTGAAACAAGAGTGTTAGACCAGAGAAACCCCTAAAACGTGCTGGAAACCAGCCCTCCAGGCCTGGAATTGAATAGCCCTGCTTTAACCCTCTTATTACCAACCTGTCGCCGCCCACAGGATTGGACATGCACATTTGTCATTACCATAATTCCTGAACCGTTCAAGATATCTGTAAAATTCCAAAAGTGCTGAAAAGATTAAAAATGGGGCTTTCCATGCATATACAATACATTACGGTAGCCACCGGGATTCCCTGTCTTGAGCGCAGCGAATCACAACACAGATTCAGAGACGTGATGAGCTCGTCATCCAAAATGCTCCGTTTTATAACTTATGAATGGCTGATCAGATTAAAATAATTCCAACGGTTCCCAAAAGTACATAAAAGCAGCTTTCCAATGATTTATAGCAAGAAATCAGAGTTATGGAAAATATTGCTACGAGGGGAAATCCTGCTGTACAACCTGATTGAAACGGAGCACAGCTCAGCGCCACGGTGAAAGCAGATAACGGAACGGGGAAGCTAATTAGCATAAAAAGCCGGCATGAAATCATGGAAATGCCTCAAAGATAATCAACACAATTAGGTGTCCCAGAAGGCTTATTTATATCTGAAGACAGTGACCACAAAGAAGGACAGATCTCCATTGAACCAGGATATGAACGTTCAGTCTTCATTTTTAATTTATTTTATTTGAACAACCCTCAACTATTTGCCAATTGTAAGATTCAGCTTCATTCCAGCATTATTTATCTTTTTACAATAAATAATTATTTTTGCTAAAACAAGTTTTTGGTATAGCAGTGCACGGTGTGCAAGAGAAGCACCCCATGGCGGTGTGAGGTGTGCAGAGTGGGACTCTGCCTGCAGCTGGAGAGAAACTGCTTCAAGGCCTACCACATCAAATAAAAACGTCTGAAAGTTTAGAAAAATAAATGTTCTTAAAAGCTGCTACAAAAAAAGATACCAAGGTTCACACTTTAAGAATAGATGCATTACAGTTCAAAGTTTAAATTGTTCATTCCAAATTGTTCGCTCAAGTCATTTTGAAGTTCCTGTTCAGTAATAAATGTAAAACATTCAATGTTTTTTGCTTTTTTCACTTTTAAGTTGATTTTTAAAGGCTTTAATAGAAATAAATTCTAATTACAAACCATACACTGAAAGCTGAGGTTGTTCTGAAAAAAGGAGAAGAGTTACACACACTTTGTAATTTTTATTACAATTTTACAGCCATAAGGTTAAAAAATACCAGGCGGCCCTGTTATAATTATGGTCATAAGAGGGTTAAGCAGATGCTTTAAAACTGGTTTCTGTGGTTCTTGAGCCAGAAACTTTAGCAACTTCCCACTGGACAGCACTCTAGAGCCCTCTGCTGACCAGAAAACTGAACAATTTTGAGGTTCGGGTAGGAACATTAGAGGGAGGTCTCTACCTGCTTTATGGCGATAGCCGTTTATTGTGTTTGTAGTTAACATGAAGGCTAACAGCTTTTTCAGTTTGCCAACCATCCATAAAAAGTACAAGAGGAAGAGTTTTGGTTATTGCGTTGGCATCATGGTAAGGCCTCGACGTAAAAGTAATGTGTTTGGAGGGAAAGCTAAGCGCTAACACCATAGGTAGCATCGCCGTGGCCGACACTCGTTTGAGGAAGCTGAAGGAGGCTACGAAGTCACGGACTGATGGTGACCTGGCTTTGCCGGAGAAACTCAGGGCTGCTGAAAGACCCATCTTCTTAGCTTGGCTTTAATTAACCATTTATTATTCTTAGAGTTTGTAGTTTAAACTTCAGTGTGCAGATGTTTTTAGGATACTGTAAAACGTGATTGTGCGGTGTGGTGTGCAGCAAGAGCATGAGGGGTAGGGGACTGATGTGTGAGACCTGGGTTTTTAATCCATAAACAATGTAAAGCACTTTGTGCCGACTTTTTCATGAATAGTCCTCTACAAATACGTTTTTATTTGACTTGTTGCTACCGGAAGTATTGATATTTATAGTCTTGACAGTGTGGAGCTTTTTACTGTGTGACTTATTTAGCATCTGTTGGTTCGAGTTAGCATTAGCTCGCTGTTATGCTAAGTTCATGCTTCTGGGTCAGCTCCACAAGGGAGAGACGCACACGCGTTGATGGATGTTTTGCGCTGACTTCTCCGTCTCCTGGGGAGTGTTGCAAAGCAGTTCCCCGCCCGGACAACAGAGGGCGTAGCGCTGTTCTGGGGTCTCTTGCCAGGTATCCGTACCAAGAGTGTGTTTACTATTGTGTTTCTTGTATTTCAGAGACTTTATAACAGATAAATTTGTCCCTCGTTCCCCTTCACCTCTTCATGCGCTCGCCACCTCTAAAGCCACGTTTCCCGTCATTTCCATCTGCAAATAAAACGCTTGTTCTGTATCTTTTTACTCCTCCAGTCACGGGGAAATAAAACATTCATATTTGTAGTTTTTCTGCGAGGTTTTCTTCTAGCTTCTCCGTGTCTAGATATGATCAGCTCCATTTTTAAGGACACAATGGCGGTGCTGTTGACGAAAGTGACGACCTGACCAATCGCAAGCTTGCGTTGGTCTTGTTCGACCGATGTTTAGAAAAGTGAGCTCCACTCCGTCCATCCTTGCGAGCCTGCTGTAAAGCCCTCACAGGGACAAATAATGGCGTTGTGCGTCTCTACGCTCCTGCGTTTGCGTCAAACTACAGCAGGGCTGTTAACGACTGTTGCAAGTCCACTTTCTACCTAGGAGGGAGGAGTGGAAAGTCTGCTTATCGTTGCTTTAATAGACTCATATGCCCAAAGGAACTGAATTGGTAAAAACAAGTAGCTAGCTTGCTAAGATAAACGTCCTTCAGAGCCTACACACCTCCATCCATCTGAACAGATACATGACAACCTGCATGAACCTTCAGGAGGCATCTAGAGAAACCTGCAGCCAACCCTAAGCCCTAATCCTGCAGCAAGCAGCCACAAGCCGTGCAAAGCGCTTCAGGATGGGTGACTTACAGCAAGGGGCTGGCTGCTCTCCGACAGCACAGAAGCCCAAAACGGCCCCTCGGCCCCATAAGGACTGCACTAGAGGAAAAAGGACACGTGAAACCCAGTCGCTCTGGACTTCTCGTTTTAACCAGACATACCCAAAAATGTACGAGTTTCTCAATCCACTTAATAGAAAACACAACCAAGTCTTACTTACACCAAACGAACATCCGCCAAGCGCTCCAGGGGGCGGGACATTGGACATTGAAGGACCCATGCCTGGTGCTCCGCTGGGGAACAAACCCAACGCATTCAAATTCAAGCCTGGAATGAGGTTGGACTGGAGCTGCAGAGAAATTCAGACGCATCGATAAGCATGCAGGTTAAGATGGAGGAGTTCTCGCCTCTGCAAAGAAAACAGGAATTCTCACGTTCATAGCAGCCATGTCGCTCTCGTACGACTCCCGGATTTTCTTCATCACCTCCTGCTCTGCACTTGAGCACGCCTCGATGGAGCCCTTTATTGTGATAGTCCGCTCTGGGTTGTAGAGGGTGAGATCCTGCAACCTGGACACAAGCCATCAGAGCAGAGATGTGCCGTTTTAGCCGCTTCACTTACAACTTTGCTGCATATGATGCAGAGAAAGGCGGCATCAACAGCCTGGCGTCTCACGGTGAGATGGTGATCTTGGTCCCCGTGTCCTGCTCGATTTTCTTCAGGTTGCGTCCTTCTTTTCCAATTAATCTTCCTACAAAGTTGTTGTGTGCGAGGATCTTCAGTGGAATCTCCTCAGTGCTGCACGACAAGAGCAGTGTAACAAACCATCAAACACTCAACACTGGGATCAAATCTATTCATCTAAGAAGGAAACACCACCCGAGCACAGAGAGAACAAATGAAGTTTAAGGCCTAGTCCACACGTAGCCGGGTTTTTTTGAAAACGAATAACCGCCCCTCCAAAAACTTGAATCCACATCACCGCGTTTTAAAACAAACTCTGTCCACACGTACCCGGATAAATACGTTGTTAAGGACATGCCAGACCTGTAGGCGGCAGTACTTCCCCCGTTCTTAACCTCGTCCTTCGTCTGGGGTCTTCCGCAAGGAGCAGTAATTCCGCTTGCAAAAACAAACAAGCAGAAAACGCTTGGACAATTGATAAAGCGAGCGCAGCTCTGAGGGCATCCATGCTGTCGGCTAGTGTAAACACAGGTCGCGCACGTGATGTCAGCACTTTTTTCGTCGCGGAAAGTGACGTTGCGGACCTTAAAACTCCGGTTTTGTCCGTCCACACGCAGACACCCAAAACAGAGAAAACGCAGATCTTCACTTTGGCCGGAGTTTTTAAAAAGATCCGTTTTCGTGTGAAAAAATTCCGTTTTCGTGTGGATGACAGGCCAAAACGTAGAAAAATATCTACGTTTTGGCAGATCCCCGGCTACGTGTGGACAGGGCCTAAGTGTCTGAGTTACTTTGTCCTTCTAGTTAAAAATTAGCCGTTTTTAGGAGCCCAAAATCTGTTTTAGTGGTGGCTCTCACGCTCCCTTCAGGAATCTTTAACCCTTCCAAGCCATCATGTTCTACAGCTCCGTTCACAACCTCCAGTCACGATGCTCACATCTAATCTTTGTGTTGAAACAAGCCGCTCACTGAACTCACAACTTTGTGTCGAGGGCTTCCTTCTGCATGATCTCCATGATGGTCGTGCAAGCGTTTGAGCAGCCTTCTGGGGTGGAGTGGATTGTGATGGGCTTCTCCGCTGCACCTGCGTTCTCCTTCCTATGGATGTCGATCCTGGTGTAAAGAACCGGACGACCAGTCAGCACGTTCCAACATGAACAGTAAAAGCGATTTTCTGAATGTGCAGTTATGTCCTGACCTCCGTGTACGTACTTTGAGTGGGTCTGCTTGGTGATGTTGCGGATAGTGGCGCCCTCCTTGCCGATGATCGCCCCTACAAACTGCGTGGGGACCAGCATGCGCAGCGGGATGTCTGACTGGACTTTGGGCCGTGCTCCCAGACCAGGAGAACCTGAACGAGGAGGTCCACGAGAGTTGAAGGTCCTCCTGCCGCCCGCAGAAGGACCTTCTGGTGCAGCCGTTTCATCTGGGATATAAGACACTTTCAAGGCGAAGTTCTCCATCATGGATCCGTTCAGCTTCTCCATCGCACTGGGAACGCAAGACATTCCAGTTCTGTTTACTAGAGAACAGCTCAGTGACCTGAATGCAGCCTTTGACACAACTGCACTAGGAGACTAACGACCTGCACCAACTACACCGTGGTAGTTGGACTTCTGTACACCAGGGGGCACTACATGGTTAATTTAAACCCCTTCCTCTCCAGCAGGCTCATCCACAAACATGTGACCACTCTCCCCTATCTCCCCTCTGCTACAAGCTTCAACAACATGAAGGTAACTGGATGCAGTTCAATTCAAACAGTTTCAAAGACATCAGAGCAGACGTGTACTCACAGCCTCGCTTGGTCCTTGGTTGCATATCGAACACTGACAACGGCAGTTTCTGTATCAGTGTTTACTGTGAGAGAGAACACACACACGCACACACACACTTTGACAATACAGCCTCCTTTGTTTGATGGTTTAACTTTTTCCAACAGTGGCGATCAACAAACAGGCTAAAGGGTTTCCGGTGATGTTTTCAGGTTGACCATCTCAGACTCCATCCAGCATTAGTAACTCATCCAAGAAAAGGTGTGTAGATGCAGCCACTGGATTTGTGTCTTTTGTAAATATTAGTCAGAATGACCTCTTTTGCTCCTAGATGTAAAAACAAAAGTTTACCTTGTTCACAGCTCTCTACTGCACCGTACTGAGCAAGCATACCGTCCAGAACCTGCGGAAGAGAAGAGCCCTGATTGCATCACTGATTTTAATGGTTAGTTCTTCCTTTGGAAAGCCTTCAGATTATTTTGTCATGAGCTAATTTTTACACTTTATTGTGAAAGTCTGTCTACCAAATGATGATTTTGTCTTTAAAAAAAAATACAAATTCCTATGAAACATTTGTTTCCAGTGTGTGATCCCAAACATGGGAGCCGATCCGCGTCACAAGCTGATTTTATGGATCAATTCATAGACGGCCAACTGTTGGCTCCAAATGTGGTTGAACCACAAATGTGACTAGATGCAGGCGGGAGGAGAGTAGGCTCCCTAGCTAAGCTAGGACCTCTGACCACGCTAGCTGAAGCCGAGGCCACAGCCCCTAGAGCTCAACCCCACTTTCTAACCAACAAGACTGCAGCCCCCAGCCCCCACCTCCTCAATGCCGTTGAACCACCAACCAGGCAACCTCCCGCCTCCCTGCCATCTGCGCTCCCCGCCATTGGCTGCTCCCACACTCAAATGAGTTTCCTGAGGCCGAGCCTTCCCGCCTGCTGGCTGGCTTCTCCGCTCATCCGTCTGCTGAAGCCAGCCAATGGGAATCCAGGCCATTCAGGAAAGGGTGGGGTACATTCCAGCAGGAAGCAGCAGCTGAGGGGGAGGGGTGTTGGTTCATGGTACACATTCTGTGAATCAGCGCACATGGAGGGGAAGGGGAAATGGTCCAGGCCCACCCACCCACAACTGCTTGTGAGCACACACTACTACTACTCTGCCACTATTCTCTTGCTCGCACACACACACACACACACACACACACACACACACACACACACACACACACACACACACACACACACACACACACACACACACACACACACACTCAGTCTTATCTACGTGATAACACACACACACGTCCATGCATTAAATAACCTATTCTGCACCTTGATTCTCTTGACCCCACCCCCTCTGAAGATGGAGGGAACTAAGCTAGCAGCAGCTCGCTACATGCTAGGAACACGGCTGGATCTGGACACGCGTAGGCAAAGCCAAGCCCACCATTACAGAACCCTGAGCCCGTCTGGAGCCATTTGATCCGTTTCAAGCAGGCTGAGGTCCAAAGCTGGGCATCAAAAAGATTTCCAATAGAAAAAATAAATAAACTAACTGTGCAATGTAATTAAAACCCTCATTGGGCTTTGTTTGTGTTTATAGGGCCAAATATTTAACACTAAAACGTCAACCCTCTGCAGGAGGAGCTGAATAGAAACACTCCAGATGCAACACCAGGATCTGGAATTTTTTTTATAACCCTTTCCACAATAATCAGGTGTGTACAGATACACACTTTATTTCAAATGAAATATTAAAGATGTTAAACACACACAGCCAACACCGTCTAGCCCTGAACTCTGACCGTTCGCTGTCGCCATTCCCATTCAGGTGCCTTTTCCATGTTCTATTAACCCTTCATGGAAGCAGCAGATCCAACCCGTGCCTGAAGAACGTCCAATACAACTACGCAATCAGAAACGGTTTTACCAGATCAGATGTGTTTTGGGAGGATTTTTGAGGAGTGCTGGCTCGCTTATTAAACACCTAAAAATCCACATCGGACCAACGGGTTCCTAAAGTTCAGAGATCTGCGTGACGTTTCAGTCATTTCTGACCGGCCGCAAAAGCTCGTAGATCATTTCAAATAACGCAGCGATTTAATTGTAAACAATTCTAAACATAAAAGCTCTTTATCATAACTTACTTTTGCTGCATTTCAATAAACAAATGAATACATGTAAATTTCACAGATTAATTTGTTTTAGTGAAAAGTTTGTTTGGAATTTTTTTTAGATCTGACGTTCATTTTCATTCATTTATTTTAAATCACAGGCTCATTGGCTAATTAAGGGTTTGAAGAGAAAAACTAAGCGTGAAATCTTTTAAATCATCTTTACAAGCCAGGCAAATTTTCAAAGGAGCTTCTGGTTTTTCTCAGCTGCTTATTCCTCACGTGAAATTAATAGCCTGAATGAAACCCTCTCCTCCAGTTCTGACCGAAGCTCAAACCCTCGTCGAGCTAGTCATCATGTGCATGCCCAATTGAGATCTAATGGCGAGGGGACTCCTGAGGCCACTAAACCAGAGTCCAGCCCGATGGTGCCACACCCTGGAAGCAGTTAGCAGCCTGTTAGCACTCACCTCCCACTGCATGTGAGGCGGGATGTTCCTGATCTGCAGCTTACAGCTCCTGGAGACACAAGGGGGGTGGGGTGGGGGTGGGGGGACACACACACACAAATGGTTACCACTGCTAACAAAAGCACAGTTAGGCAGGCTGGTCCCTATAGCCACCTGACTCACCTACATGTCAGGTGGACTTGAAGGCCACTCAAGCATCAGAGGGGAAAGATGGGGGCTCTAAAACACTAAGTTTTGCTTTAAAAATAAAAACACACCACACCCTTCAACCACACCGCCAGAGAGTGCACAATAATGAGACGTAGTTTAACAAAAAAGAGCGTTGGACAAAAGGAAAACATCACGAGTGTTTGTCCACACATTTGTGCCCCGCGGTGACGAATCATGAGGTTTCCTCCACATCCTCCTCACCCCCAGCAGCTCCATACCCAGGAGCATCATCCAGCTGTGGTTTCAGGGGTGGAGGACGCGTGTGCATGTCTGAAACACGAATTTGCTAGAGAAGAGACACCAGTTCGAGGCCAAAATCACACCCTGGTTCCCAGAGCGCTCTCATGTAGCAGAGGCAAGCGGAGCCTGGCAATTACAAAAGGTGCTGCTGGGCTCAGTCACAAAAAAGCAGCAGAAATCCCCGGCTCAGGCCGGCACTATCTGAGCTCGCTTCTTCGGGTTTGTGTGGGACGGCGTGAGTTTACGCACCGTCACACGCACGAGGGAACTTGTGGATCAGAGTTTGAACGATTGGCATCGGCATGTGGTCGTCTGGAGGAGAGAAAAAAGGCACAGGCCACTCCAAAGTCCACTCTTAACACACATCACCCTACAGGGACAAACTGCACCTATAGACTGGAGCTAAAGCTACACTTTGACCCCGGTATCAGCTTCACACTCGTGCTACAGGAAAGGGAGCAGCGTGCAGCCATATTTTTCTTTTAAAGTGGGCACAGCTTTTCCATTTTCTCCATTCTGCTCAAATTAAAGCAGTACAGGGTTTAATAAGCTCCTCCCCTTTTAATATGCCATATAAAATCTCTACTAAAGTGTGCTGCAGGAGAGCATCAAGGGCTACGATACTTGAAATTCCTCAGCTTAGCCACTGCAACTCCAGCTCAGGACAACAGTTGGGACATGAGCAAATCACTTCAATGTAAACGAGCAAATCATGTTAAAAATAAAAATCCTGAAGAACTTTCCAACAGGAATTTCAACCCTTTCCGCTCCGCCATTCCTGACTCATCTCGCTCCTTCTCCCTGTACGTTCAGTGGACTCTGCATTGCAATGGGAACCCCCCTCGATTCCAAATGTGCAAATTCACAAAGTACTTCCAGTTGGATTAACCTATAGCCACACACACACACACACACTCACACACACACACACGTCAGGGTATGTGGAGTGGCGGGGTGGGGGTGGTATACATTCCTAGTCTCTGCATTTCGTTTGGGGAAGTGTGTGTATGTGTGTGTGCGCATGGGGTGTGGTATAGAGCATGGGGGGTGGCCCTGTTGCAGGCAAGGGTAACAAGGGCCCTCTCTGACCTGTGGGGGTGGGGCCCTGTTGCCATGGACACGGACAAGTCCACTGACAGGAACATGTAGAGCAGGGTTAAACCCGGGACGGGAAGGAGGGAAGGCCCAGGAGTGACTGGGGTTGGCAGTCATGTGACGGCCAAGAGGCGGCCAGGCTCCTTATTTACTCAAAAATAAATAAATAAAATAAATAAAGACCTATTTTACACATTTGGCCTCTTGCTGCACAGACGAATGATACACACGCGTATAATTATAAACACGCAGTGACGGAGATCCACCAGTAGCATGTTCATTCACCCAGACTGGAGCTCTTATGGTAGACGCGAGGTGTGTGCTTAAGGCCCGTCCTCCACGCAGAGGTTCTGAGGGAGGGAAATCGGGTTTCTGTTGGACTGCGTATGCCCGCTCTCCCCTCATGAGCAGAGTTTAAACTCGGATACACAGATTTAGAAAATAAATAAAATCAAGCCTGAATCTGAAGTTTCAACACAATTCTGTCAGACTTTAAATATAAGTTAGGTGGAGGGACAGGGGCCTCATTCACCAGTGTGTCCCCTAAAGCTCCTGTCCAGAGACACAGGTGGAGCCCCACAGTGACCTCGTGACCCAAAAGTCTGGTGCTTGAGTTGCACCGACACTTCTGCAGACAGTTCTGATAAGATTTACACTTTGTGTTCATTTTGTTCTCAGTTAAAAATACAAAAAGCCTCAAAATGGACAAATTACTACAATTACAACAAATTACACATTTAAAAATAAACAGTTTCTGTATTCAATCAGCATGACACTTTCCTTTTAAACACACAAGTTGCCTTTTCTCATTTGGGATTAATTTTTTCCAGCCAGAATCATCTGCACCACGACTTTTGTTCACTTTTCACTTTCACACCATGCAGCAACATTAAATAGCAAAACTGTTTATAGTTGCCATTTTACACATTTGTGCCAACAGCAAGAAATGTAGGTCAAACCGTACGAAGGTTAAGATGCTCGACTTTCTAATAAAAATAATAAATGACCTACATTTGTATAGCGCCTATTAGACTCCAGAGCGCTTGACACTTTAGTGCAGCACTGACACACACACACACACACACACACACACAACAATGTAGCCACAGCTGCACTGGGGCTCACCGAGAGAGGCTAACCCCCAAATTCTACCATCTCAGCTCCGCCCCCGCCTTCCGCAGCCGCTTGCTTCCGAACTCAATTTTACTGGTACCCGCTCTACAACGGCTCCGCTCCGGTGCGGAGACCTGAAGTGGTCAAACAAACAAGCATGCGCGGGATTTTCGAGATCTTGCGATACAGTCCGAGCAATAAACGCGGAAGTTAGATCCAAACACCCGTTGTGTGGGAGAAGCATCGACATGAACTGTTTAATCTGCCCATCATTTGTGTTGAGACATCAGCAGTGTTTGGATCAACAAAGTGTGACTACTTTGATTGTGGAAACTGTACTTATGGCTTACTTTTGTGCATTTAAAGTTCAGCCGCCATTGATAGTTGTTAAAAGTTGTTAAACCTGTGCATATGAAACAAAAAACGCTTTTTGTTTATCGATTTATTGTGAAAAAACCGAAGTTGTGCTTGCTCCTTTTCCTGTTGGGTGGTTGTGATTCCTGTCCATTGACTGCGGAGGTGCTCCGGCGTCCGGAAAAATAGGATCAATTCTATTTTTACCGGACACTGGAACAGAGGGCGGCGCACTGCCGGAGCACGGCCGCAGTAGTGGAATTGCTCTGACTGACTACAACGGGAGCGATTTTGCTCCGGAGTTCGTGCCGGAGCGGAGCGGAGGTAGTGGAATTTGGGGGTAAATGCTCATGCTGACCACAGACCAACAGAGCCAGCAATGAGTAAGTGTATCTTTGATAGATGCAAATGAAGAAACAGGCACAAAATGCTTTCAATCAGAAAAATATAAAAATTTTAGTGTCCTTTAAAGGGCGTGAGATCTGTTATTCGATTTGCATCAATTCAGCCAAAAACACAAACTATCCTAGTAGGGACGGGTACCGAATTCGGTACATTTTAAAGGCAGACTGAGTTCTGTGGTACCCACAGAGAACCGATTCACGTGATATGAAACGGTACCTTGTTTTCATGTCGTTCGTTAACGAGAACTAGCGAGACAGCGACTTGCCAAGACGGACAGCAGCGAATGTGCAAGAACATAATGTCGTCAGTGGCTGCGGGCGAGCTGTAAACAAAGCAAGCAGCATGGCCGACAGAACGCCTGCAAAGTTTGGGTCCACTTTAATAAAGCCTCTTTAAGAAAACAATGCTGCCAGTTGGCTGCAACGTTGCGGCGGCATCAGGGAGCTTCAGGTTGTTTATAAGTTTTTACAAAAGATGTCTGTATGAGGGGGTATGGGGCGTCATACGGACCTTTTATTGCGATCAAAGCCACGCCCATTAAGTTTGTTTTTGTTTAACAAGTCGCTCCTGAAGGTGTCGGTCCTCCACAGTCCTGTGCAGTCTCCGGTGATCCTACCTCCAGCTCCAACAGAGAAGCTCCTGGAGCGCTGCATCGCTCCAGTTTATCATCTCAACTGCTCCCGTTTACAGAAGCAGAACTTACGGCCCGCGTTTACTTTCATGTTCATTATAGTTGCCAGCCTGAGCTCGGCAGCAACTCCCCACAAGATCATGACACCTCCCTCTGTTGGTGTAATATGCAATGACAAGTCCGGCGTTTTGGTGATATCACTACAAGCGCGGCGTCGCGAATGCCGCAGAACACCCGCAACGCCACGCCGCCACATTAACAATCTCAGTGAGGCATCGTCATCTTAATCTGCTCCAGCAAGTAAATAAACTGTTTAAGATAACAGAAGCTCAAATATCACGCTGATGTTATCAGCTAATGGTGCGTTCGCTTACTCCTCAGAACTCAGAAATTCTGACTTCCTAGTAGGAAAAAAATCAACTGTTTAAAAAGGGCAACAGGATTGTAAAAAGAAAATTTTGTTGACAGCAATGAATTTTGCATCAGTTTAATTTGCAGTTTATGAAACTACAAGCACCCACCCATCACACCATTTGTCCAGAGGGCACAGAAGGAGCACCTGGAGTTGGCTTTTAGTTTGTGAAACACCACAATATTAAAATACAAACTGTTGCGTGGTACTGAAGCCGGTTTTAGTTTTATTTGTAGTTTATAATACATGGTATTGTTCCAGAGGGTAGAGAGGAGGAACAGGAGTCCGTGGAGCTGGGTTTTGGTGTTCGCATCATTTAGAAACCGTTGTGGATTAAAGCTTTCATTCTGAAGAATTTTCTACAACACTACACTGATAAAATACCAACAGTTGTATGTTATTTATCTTCATCAAATATGGTATATATTCCATTAAGAGATCTAATTAATTATTAAACACTCAAATAGGTACTGTTAAGTAATTGATTCCTAGGTACCGGGAATTGGTATCGTATTGATTCAAAGGTACCCATCTTGTAGCTGTGTGGAGAATTTTGGGGGGTTATTTGGGGTTTTGTCACATTAAACAAGATGTTTATTCTTTTTCTGAACTGAAACACTAAAAAAAATGCTTCATGTGTTTGCTTAAAGAACCCCTAATGTAGCCCTCACCACCACCCCATTCCCTGTGTGCTGTAGCCCCTCCCCCTTCAAAAGAGTTCAAAGGTGAAGGCAAGGAGAGACTGGGCCAGCCAGCTTAAGTTTGCATGCTGGAATGTAAGGACTAGTGTGTTATTCTCCTCCTGCTAGCAGTGATCTGGTGCCCCTCTCCAAATAAATATAATCACAAAGGGTGCCACCACCTCTCAAAACTCCACAACTGTACTAGGGGGACTGACACACATTTACTTTATCAAACTACACGTCAAGAAAATAACATAATTGTCACATGTCCTCAATTTTTTAAACCCGATAACTTATTTGATCAGCAGCATGAATACTTTAAAAACAGATGTCGAGGGGGAAACTGGGCATTTAAAAAAAGCCACGTGATGCGTTAAATGCCTGCAAAATTCTAATAGTAAAATATGCTACACGGGCACCAAAAATTTCACCATAAAATAAATCTAAAGAACCCTGGTCGAATTATGTCGCCAGTAAAAAAAATACGCACACAAAAGCCTGAAACTTTCTTCCATTTGACGCACATGAGGGAGAAAACGCGCATACACAGCGCCATGTGGGGAGCACTGGAACGCAGCCGCTGCGTGACTCTGACATTTCAGGTTTTTCGTGACTTGGGCCCCAAAGCTGCCATTCCTGCGCGTTTGGAGTCCATCTCATGCAACAGCAGCACAATGTGCCGAGGAGGGCGGAAGCGTGGGGATGACGGGCAGATCCTCAAATGGACGACTCCAGCAGGCCCTAGCGCTGCTCAGCCGGGATTCAACCGGCAACCTCTCAGGTTTAAACGCCACTGGTGTGTTTCGTGTCAGATAAAATAAATACGTGGTGGATTTAGGAGCCGTGTGCACTGTACAGACGTGGAGGGAGGGAGGCCCGCCAGGCGCCCCTTTCATTTGACCCCGGTGCATTCAGGGACACAATACGTCCATTTAAACCCATTTTAAAAAGCTACAAACGTAGGAATTAATGCATTAGTCTCAAAACATGGCATAAAAAGGGCTTTGCTGTAGAAAATGGCTCCAGAAGCGTAAGCCACCAGAGCTAGTTTAACCAAACATCACCTACCTTTGACGTTTAGGAACCGAGTGCTCTACTTCCAGAACTTTTCCGTGAAGTTCAACTTTACCTAGAAAAGAAGATAAAACTGCTTTTAGCATTCCTCTTGCCTCACGCGGCCTCCTAACCCCTGTTTTGGAGGGTCAACTCATCCTATTTTCTTGTCTCGTGCTACAATTGAAGCAGGAAAACATGGCTGCGCCCTGGGTGTCTCCAGCTAAAGGTGATGCGAATTAGTAAACGTTCAAAGTGGGGCACGAAGCCAACAGTAAAAGCAGGGTGTGGGGGTTTAATGCAAGGAGCTCGCTATAGGACGGGGAGTCAAAACTACACAAAAGCAGAGGAAATGTGGCATGGCTCAGCAAGTTGGCCTACATTTTCGGACTAAAACGCAATTAAATGGGCTTTTGTGTCAGCGTGGGCTCCACGGAGCAGCGGGCTGGGGCTGCACGGGGCCCGTGGAGCGGCTCGTCACCGGAGAGGAGCAGAAAGCCTCCAGTGGGGCTAAAAGTGAGTGAGCCACAATGAGGTTGACTCCACGGCGTGCACAAGCGCCCATCTGTCCTGCACTGCTCGCGCAAGCTCCGCGCGCACACACACACGGCTGCTGATCAACCTTTTAGTTTTAAAACTACAAAAATAAAGAGAATTTGAGTGAGAGGAAAACGTTTGCGTGAGCCCACGGTGTCAAAAGGCCAAGCAAAGGTTGTGTGAGACAGAAACAAATGGATACACCCCCCACCCTGCAGGACGTGCATGCATTTCTCACACAGGGGGCCTAAAGTCAGCCAACCTGGACCAATCAGCAGTTTTATTTCACTTTCTGCATTTTTTTTATTTATTTAACTTGTTGAGGATTTCTCACCTGAGAGAACATCGATGGCCCTCATTGCGGTCTTCTCGTCCGGGCAATCCACAAACGCATAGCCGGTCTTGACTAGAAACGGACCACTGTGCGGAATCTTCCACTGCTTAAAGATAGTTTCCAAGTCCTCCTCGCTCGCCTCCGCGCTCACGTTACCAATGTATAGCTTATTCATGGTCCACGCCGAAATCAGGGACAGTCTTGACGCTGAGTGGGGAGAGACGCGGTGTTTGGAGTCGCCCGAATCGCCTTTACTGTACTGTGGAGCGGCGGCGTGCTTCCCGGTCGTTTGAGAGCCACAGATAGATTTAAACTGGCAAGCTTCTCCGTGCGTTTGCGCTCCCTCGCCCCACTGTCACTATCGCGCAATAAATAAATGCTCAATTATTAATCTCGTGTCTCCAAACGATGGCGGGCTGGGTGGAAAAAAAGGAGGAGAAACTACTTTGTGTCTTCCCCCCCTTCAAAAAAAAAGCTTGGCAAAGAGACAGAGAATGTCACACACACGGTAAGGTTGGCGCCCGCCTCTAAGTCTAGAGCCTAGAATAAGAAGAAAGAAGAAAAAAATCTCCGGCTTTTTTTTTTCTTTTCCTTTTTTTGAATGAGCCACGTGTTCAAACTACAAATCAGCCCACACGTGAGGAATCCCAATTGCTCAATTAAGTGTTTGGGATTGGGAAAAACTGCACGGGAATCTGGGGTGGAGACGGCAAAGAGGGGGAGTGAGGAAGAAAAAAGAAAAAAAAAACAAGAAGGGGAAGAGTGGAGTGGGTAGAAACCTGCGGAGCCGCGTGCGTAAACGGAATCCGTGAGAAACTATAATGTCTTTACTAGAATCATCGTGGGCCTTTCTTCTGCGCAGCCTGGATGCTGATTGGTCGGTTGGGGAATAGTAAAACGGCAGTGCGCTGCACTGATGACACCGTTGGAGGAAAAGGGGGTGGGGCCATTCATGAACGATGTTGCTCTATATTGTTAAACGGTGCATCTGAAACATTGCATTTGATGTATTTTGGCTGTAAGGGGAGGACCCCGAGCTGCATCATGGGCCCTAATGCAATCTGGGAATGACACGTCTACCACCAAGCCCACATGACGGCATCCATCTTCTCCAGCAGCGTGGAACAACCATGCTCTCTTTTATCCACGACTCAAAGTCCAACAGCAGGCCAGATCCATGTGGTCTCCTCACTGGTGGGGATCCTCAAACAAGATGGTGCTCCTCCACGTCACTTGGTGGTTTTTAAACCTGTTTGGCTCGTGTGTGAGGCGCATGGCGAATCTCCTCTACGTGGATCTGAAATGAGTGAAGGGGAGCGGGGTCTCCAGAGCGCCATCACGTACCAAAACAAAACACAAAGATCGATGATTGATTAGTAAGCCTAGCGAGCCAATCAGCAGGTTTTAGCTCTTTTAAAATAAGTTCGTTTAGTTTTTAAATGAAATTACTACTTTTTATAATAATGAAACAATAATGTTTTGTCAGATGGAGACATTGAAACCTAATAAATCTGTTTTTAAATGCATTCTTAGCCAGATTTCTAAAGATCAGCTGCAGGTCAGCACAAGGATTATTAACGTCATGCTGCAGAAATGGTCCAAAACTCCAAGTAAACAGTCAAAGCAGGACTAGTTTGAGATTTTCAACTGCTTAAGCCTCAAACGGAAAATGTAGTTCATGTGTAAGAAAGTCATAAATTAAATTTAGACCTTCTTCTAAGTGTTTTTTAAAGATGCTCCTTCGCTGAATCTATTTAGAAAATCTCATGTAACAATTCAGCGAGTTTGCGTAAATCATTTTCTTTAGTTCTGGTTCTGATTCAGACCGTGGCTCCCGGGTTTTGGACCCCATCATGACTCAGAAAGTCCTGATGTACGAGCTCTAGCATGAAACAACTTCCACAAACCAAACAAAGTTGAAAACTAATTTCCACAACCGTTTTACAGCAAATGTCTCAAAGGTTTAAAACAATAGTGATGCAGTTAGTTGAATAGTTTTATCTTCAGCCTTTAAGCTGATTGTGTTCCTCCCAGCTGGTCGTCTGAGCTGTTGTTCTGGGCTTTCTGAAGACACTTGCTCTGCACACCTTTGGACTTCTAAATGAAGCAGAGAGCTGAGTGAGTCAGCCTCACATCTGATTGTTGAGCTCATCTGTCTGAAGTGTCTGGTGTGACCAGCATGCTTTCACTCCTGTTTCCTGCCTGATGCTGTCACGCATCACACATCTGTGGAATGAAGCGGTGATTTATCGGCAAGATTAACAATAAAAAGTCCTAACCGCTCCAACTTTCACCTCGAATGTTTTAATCTTACTACTTGTGAAAAGTTTGGAGTGTTTAACGAGACTTGCAGCTGTTCCTGCGGTCCCCGGCTCTCTGACAACAAGGATCTGTGAGGAGTTTCAGCGTCACGCACGAGCCCAGGTGTGCACGCAGGTTAGCTCAGCCGACTCCTCCTCGCCCGGGCCAAATGGGTTTGCTCCTTTCTGCTGCTGAGAAAAAAAGAACGAGTTCTCTGATTGGCCAGGCCAATCGACCAATCAGAAAGCCGCTCCGTACGGCAGCTGGCTGGGCCTCAGCGCGCGCGCTCATTGGCTCCCCGGCTCTACTTTCTATATGAATCAGCGCGCGTGCTTCCCTCGCGCGTCACGCAGCATATGGCTTGAACGGAACACCGCCAGGCGGGTCCAGGAGCCGCTTTTAACGGCTCTCTGCGTTCTCTGCACGGGGCTGTCCCGTTCACTTTTACCGGCAGTCACTAACGAACAAGTGGTCCGAAGCCGAATTAAATCTGGTGTCTTCACAGCAACTTCCGGTCAAGTTTTTATTCCTTTACGTCTCGTAACAACTCTATGGGGACTTTGTGAAAAGTATAAGTTCATGTGTGTGTGTGTGTGTGTGTGTGGGGGGGGGGGGCAGTAAGGTTGTTACAATTATTTAAAACCTTCTTTATTTCATTTGGACGATTTACAACTCAAACATGACAACAAAACGCATAAAGTGTGTGTGTGTGTCGCTGAGACACAAGCCCCCCCTCCCCAACTAATTCCATAGGGGGGAGAGCTGACATGAAGAATCAGACACATCCTATATGTTGGGAGGGTTCTGGCCACTGCAGGGGGACCAAGCAGAGAAAATGGATCTGGGTGGGGGTGGGGTGTGTGTGTGTGTGTGTGTGGGGGGGGGGGGGGTATTGTTTGTAAAACTCAGCTTATAGCCCAACTTTGAGCGCCACTGGCCTCACTCCAAGCTATAGTCTACTCCGCCAAGCGCGAGGCACTCACTAACTAACCCTAAATAGGCTCCACCGATCCGGGGACTCGGTTATTCCGGTGAGGCTGCTTTATTTCTCATTTTCTCGGAATCCTTTTGACAATGTCTGATTTCTCAGAGTTTTGCGCCACTCACAGCCAGTAAAGTGACCGCTTCGGACAGCAGGGAGCTCAGTGGGCGTCTCTGAACGCCATGTTGAGGAGAACCTGAGCTGCAACGTTTAACTGATGCACATACAAGCCTTGAGTCTGGGTCAGAACCGGGCTTTCTGCTGTCCCCGTCCGCTCCACACGCATCATTAAAGGAGGAAACCAGAGAGACGGTGCTGCTTTCTCCTCACAACACTGCAGGACGACACCCTGCTGCATCTGATCAGAAAATGGCGGTGTGTGCCCTTCTGCACACATGCCAGGAAATGTTGCTACAGCAGCAGATAACCACTTCATTCATGCTGCAGAAACTCTCCACAGACGTCTCAGTTTATCCTAAATTATGGGCCATCTTTAAAAGAAACCCTCGAATAAAATGCAGAAAGAAAAAGGAAAAAATCTGCACATTGACTCCGTTTCTCGTCACGTTTAAACAAATTAGAAAGTCCTAGGAAAAAACGCTCCAAACTCCCATCTGAAGTGGCTCACGTGAGCCTGAATGTTTAGTTAAATCTTCCAGTATTTTCTAGAACGAATCTGATGTTTTATTTTGTTTTTAAAGCTTTAAAAGAGCCGAAAAACAGCAACCGCCATTGTTGTGATGCAACAAGTTCGGTCTATTTAAATAGTTTTTAATAATTAAATTCCCATCATTCCTCGCAGTGGATCACGTGCATTAAAATAATTTCGATATTTAGGTTCAATTTATTTGACGTGAATTAAGCAGAACTCTTATTTTGATGTGGATCTGTGAGTTTTTGTCACGTTCTGTGTGTTTTGGCGCAGATTTGCACGTTTGTGCTGCACCAAAGTTGACAGAATGTGTGTTTTCACGCAGGTTTGCGTAGATTTCTGCAGACTTTCAGCCTCAGCTTGCAGCCTTGTGTTGTTTTTTTAGCCCTGTTGGGAGTTTTTTTTAATTCAGATCTTCGGAACAACTTGTCCCCCAGCTTGTCTGAAACAAGGAGTTCATCTTCCTATTAAACCTGAGGTGAATGTGACGTTTCCCCCTTTTTCCTGTTTATGGTGAAATAAAATGCATGACGTGTTAAACACGCATTGATCTGCATTTTCTTGTGTGTGATTTCATAACTGAACAGAGCTATTAAACTAAATCTGTTTATTTCAGCGAGCCTTTATTTGATGCAGTTACATTTCTGAGTTTATTTTTAAAAATACAAGTTTCAAGAGTTTTTCCTCAAATTAAACTGTTTTGTTTAAATTAGCACCGCACTGGCTTAAACAAGGCATGGTAAGGATAATTTGTGGTTTCACAAAGAGGTTTTTTTTTGTTTGATTTGAACAAATATCTGGAAAAAAACTTAGGATAAAATCAGTTTCATGTAAGTTCAGGAATTTACACAAATTCAAACAAAACTAACCAAACACAAAATTTTCCTAATTTTATGTTTTATTTTATTACAAATTAACTTAAACCATTTAACACTTTTCTGTAGAGATTAGATTAATTCATACTTTTAAAGTTTTCTCATGTTGGACCTTCATTTTTTGAGCTAATAAATAAAATGGTTTTTAGTTTAATTATTTGATATGAGAAGCTTTTTTACTGCATCTGTTTTATGGAAATGAAACATTTTAGTTTGAAACCAAATCTGAGAGTTTTTCTGATTAGGTTCAGTTGTCATTAACGACTGGAGCTTCTGTTATTACAGATGTAATCATACCTAAACCCTCTGATCTGAGGTCCTCTCGCTGTACCTCGGTCCTGCTCTGACACCAGTTTCATTTCACAACTTTAGAGGAGAAAAACAATCATTTTCAAACAACCAGAAAAACAAAAGCTCTGCTCGTGCCTTCATATGCACCTGCTCACTACAATAAAAACTAGATGCATGAACGAATCAGAAAGAAAACAACTCATCCAACATCTGCAAGAAATGAGAGCAACCCTATAAAAACACAGTATAAGCACACACGACTCGTCCGAATCTTTGTTGGGATAAAACCGACTTAAACCTAAATAATAACCTGGGATTGAACAGAGGCCCCGTCACATGCAGCACTGACTCCATTTGAATTTAGAGGCTAATTGTCAGAACCAAGGACAGCAGGTACAACTTGGACCTGCAGGTTTGTGGCTTGAGTCCGGGTGAAGGTCCTGCGGTAAACGTGAAACCCACATCTCTAAAACTGTAGATGAAATCCTGTCCATGCCAACAGCTGTCAGGTAAAAACTCGTTTGAAAGTCAAATCTCACAAACTTGGTTTTCACATCTGAACTTTTAACGTTAAAAAACTATCCCATAAAAATGTTTAATTCCCATTTTTATTCATGCTGAATTCTGTAAAGTCACCCAACCATCACCACTCGTCCCTGCCTCATCCGCCCAACATAGACGGATCATTTCTCACTCAAACATCTCAACTCTAACGACATGCGCACACACTTTAAAACTTTATTTTTTATTTGATAAATCAAATACAGTAAAAAGTCACATTTCTGTAAAAGAAGCACCTCCGTCTTTGGCCCGATCTTGATGCTACCAACCAGTAAACAGTAAAGTTGACAGAGATAAATCTGTAAACAGAGACACCCAACTTGTATTTAAAATCTGAAATCACCATCATGCACTCAATCAGAATCATTTCTCCATCAAAACTCAACAGCGACCGAAACTGTGATTAACTTGAGGGAGAGGAAAAGTTTTATGTTGCATAAAAGAAAGAGGGAAGGAAATAAGTCAGTTTAGAGTGAAGCAACAACTCAGTTCTTTGCTCATCCTCGACCTGCTGACACAAAAATGCTTGAAGGTTAAAAAGTCTGCTGCATGTAAACAGGAAACATGCTAAACTCATGGATCAGTGTAACACTTTAAAACTTTCACCACTGAATTACCTCCAAGAAATCCCACAACTGACAGTTATTTAGGACAAGAGGAGCTTATTCATTTAGCATCCACCTGCAAAAGACAAAGACATTCACTGTTAGATGAAGTTTAAAGGGGACATATCGTGGAAAATCCACCTTTTTAATCATGTAACATGGTTGTTTCCTCAAAAAAACCCATTTTGGCTGCATTCATGCATTTTCCTGTTTCAGCTGCAAGTTTAGAATTTTATTTTTGAAATTCCAGAAACAGCCTAACAAGTTGTCACTCCTAGCCTGGCAAGCCAGACTAAATAAATGTATTATTTATTATTTAGAAAGCTAGACATCATAGAAAGAAAGTTAGAAAGTTGGAGTGACGTAGCCTGGTGAACTAGACCAAATTCTTGCTTTGCAAAGAATTATTTAAAATATTTAAATTCTTTGCAAAGCAAGAATTTGGTCTAGTTCACTAGGCTACGTCACTCCAACTTTCTGCTTCCAACATCAGGCCCTGCTCCTCCCCCAGAAGCTGGTCTCTGGTCTGAAACCTGTCTCCCCTGGTTAGCTCAGGATAAGTGGCACAGGTGATGAGTGCTGGGCTGGTATAGTTTTGTGCTGGTTCACACTTTGGTCTCAGCAGGAACTTATTTCTTCTTCTTCAGCTACGCTTGCCATTACGTTTTCAACCATTTATTGGGAAGCTGTTTAAAATATAAGTCCTAATATGTTTGTTTTGTTTATTGTGAGTCCATGTGAGATGAGCAGAGTAAATCAAGTAAAATGCTGCTTGGAAGTGATCAAGTTCAAAGGTGTTTAGAGATACAAAATAATTTGTAAAATTAAGCAATAAAACTAAAATATAAAAACACGAAATCTGCTTCAGATGGCTAAATAAACTGCCGACACCACCGGGTCAGCACATGGCAACCAGAGATGCCTGAACTACTGGACTACAATAGGGAGCCTAAGTCACGCCCATCTACTTCCGGACCACGGGTCCCCAGAAGAACGAAAAAATGAACACAAATCAACGGGGCTAAAACGCTACTTGTTATGTGCTATGGGTTTCACATGTGATGTCCGTGAAATTTAAAGACGCATTTTGATACCAAGAACGCGCTTATTTTCGAACAGGGGGAACGTTATTTTTGGTTTTGTGTGAAAATAAGTCCAGGACTACAAATGTGCTTCACTAAGTGACGTCATTGACGCAGACACGGAAAAAAACGGAGGGAAAATGGCTGAAAGTTTAGAGAACCTCAAACCCTTTTTTTCAGGAAGAAAGACCACCATAAATCTGGTCGTTTGGTAAGTAGCAGCTATGCTAGGGGAGTGGAGATTATGTGGTGACGTCACACATGCGACGTGCAGATTTCTAGTTTGTCGTCATGCTAATTACGAACTTTTACAAGCTGAAAAATCTCAAAGCACGTGACTGGTGTGGTTGAAACAACCATCATTAGTTTTCATTTCACATGTGTGTGATCCAGGGCGTAAGGCAAAGCGGATTAGAAAATAGCGTTTTTAGCCCCGTTGACTTGCATTAATTTTTTCATTCTTCCAGGGACCCATGAGCCGACCGTAAAGGGAGGAGACCTAGGCTCCCTATACTCAACTCAGTAACCATCGTGCCTATAAGATGCTGCTGTAGGCACGATTTTTAGGAGCGGCCATAGATGGAGTTTCAGTTGATGACAAAAATAACTCATGTTTACGATAAATGACATCTCAATAGATGCCAACAGTAATGCGTTTCCATATTGCTCTCAAAGTTTTAAAATAGCATGATCTGGAACCTTTAAGACAAAATCAAATGAATGACAAATAACCCACACTTGTATAGCGCCTCTCAGGGTAAAGCACTTTACACTAGTGTATCATTCATCCATTTACACACTGGTGGGGATGAGCTACAATGTAGCCACAGCTGCCCTGGGGCGCACTGACAGAGGCGAGGCTGCCGAGCACAGGTGCCACCAGTCCCTCTGACCACCACCAGCAATGTGGGTTAAGTGTCTTGCCCAAGGACACAACAGCAGAATTCTCTGTCCGGAGCCGGGATCAAACCTGCAACCTTCTGATTACTGGGCAACCCGCTCAACCTGTTGAGCTACTGCTGCCCCTAAACAAGCCCCCAGTCCTGGACCAAAAACCAAATGGCACCACTGCAAAATTCAGAAGTACAATCTCCTAATGTCTCTAAAAGTCCAACCAGGTTTGAAAATTAGCCTCTGGCTAGAAGACCTCTGTGCAAAACAACGGCTGCATTGCCTCTATGTAACCTTGTCTTTTGTGCAGTCCTTGTACGATAAAACCAAACTAAAATAATTATATTAAAATATTTATCATAAGCATTTGTCTGAGCCTTTAATGAGTGTTGTTTTTCCTTAAATCAGCTAATAAAACAGTATGTCTGGTTCTGTTGTATCACCAGACGGATCCTTTCTGCTGCTGAATGCTCATCAAAATAAATCCAGATAGAATAAATGCTAAATATTGATATTTACGGAATAATAAAGTCTATTTTAAATACCTGAAGGCTCAGGTGAACTACTGTCCAAAGGACGCACTGCATTTACCACCGAGTTGTTGGGTTTGTGTGGGTTTTAGGAGTGTGATCCATCCTGATGTGGTCTCATCCCGCTCCGCTCCGGCTGCTGGATCAGTCCTCAGGCTGGATTAACAGGAGAAAACACAATCCTCTGGTGAAGGGTCTGTTTCACTGAAGCGTGGGAGGCAGCAACAACATTAGACGGTGCTGACATCTAGTGGTGGAACCGTGTAATCACATCTACTATAACGGTGCTTCTGAGTGGGAAAAACCTTTATTTAAAAGATGTTAAAAAGAATAAAAGGCAAAAATCAAACATGATGAAACGTCATGTTTAAACATTTTGCAGGTTTTCTGTCTTTTTAAAAGGTAAGATATTTTATGAACAAAATAAAACAGAACTTACTGCTAAAAGGAAATCTGGGTTTGATTATTTTCCCTGGTTATCTAACACTAGAAACGATCAAACGAACACACATCCCCTAATAAATTACAGCAAATAGCTCAAGAAACAGGAAAAAGCACTTTGATCAAGTCCTCTGAGCCCTAACACGAAAACACTTTCTACACCTGAACAGTAAATGGGCCAATACCGTCCTACACCCCCCAAGACACTTTACAATACAACAGTCACACACACATGTATGAAATCTTAAAGCACTTCAAAGGCAGAACTACGAGGGCGTTG